CAGCTGCGCGTTGCCGCGGGCCAGCGCGCGCAGCAGCGCCTCGCGCCGCTCCGCCGCGCCGCGCAGCGCCGGCGGGTTGCGGTCCAGCGCCAGCAGGTTGCCCAGGTCGAACTCGAGCTCCAGGTCCTTGTGCACGGCCACGCCGCGCTGCTGCTCGGCCTCGCGCGCCGCCGCCGCCGCCAGCACCTCCTCCGCGCGCACGGCCGCCATGGCGGCGGCTGCTCCTCTGCGGAAGCGGGCGGCGCGCCGGAAGGCGCCGCGGAACTACAGCTCCCAGCGTGCGCCGCGCCCCCGCGCCGCCTCGGCGGGAGGGGCGGCGCGGCGCGGCGCCCTCTGGGAGATGTAGTCCACGCGCGGGTCTTGCGCTAGAGCGCCGCGGCCGCGTCCCGCTATGGCAACGCGGAGGCGGGCTCTGTTCGGCCATGGCGCCTGGAGCTGGGGCCCCCGGCACGGGCTCGGGGCGGGGGCGGCTGCGGGAATCGCTCTGTTGGGAGCAACTCCCTGGATCGTGTTCGGAGTGAGGGAAGTGAGCGCGAGGACAACGGCGCAGCTGTGTTTTTAGAAGGAAAATAAAGCGGAAAAAGTCTTATAAGCTGAAGATGCACCCCTGATTCCCAGAATCTTATTCTTGTGGCCAAGCACAGCACATTTTTACTACATAATTGTAATTATGAGCATTTTGTTTTTCAGCCCACCATTCACGTACTTCAGAGCACAGATTCCCCCTGCACTCAACACGTCAGGAGCTGCCAGGGACAGTTTTTCCCTTTCCTACGAGATGGCCTCCTGCATGGATTGCTGCTGGGCGCACTTCCATGGATGGCTCCGTCCTCCACCTGGAATTACAGATTAAATTAAAGACACTTCTCACCTCTTGAAGATGTACGGGTGCTGTTTACAGCACGAATAGGTGGAGGCGTGTGTCTATACGTTAGTACCGTGTAAGCAAGGTGCAGTGTTGGGGCACTTGTTTGGTCTCTGATCTTGGCCTCCCCGCTGTCCTATTTAGTCACTTTGGCTTATGTTTGTGCAAAGCCCAACAGTCTTYGGGTAAATGAGCGAGACTGAAGGGACACCGTTAATAAAATTCATTACACAAAATTGGCTCGCTAGTTTATGTGTCCACAGAATAACAGAAGGAATGCGAACTGGGAATTTGTCTTCATATAGTACGTGAAGCATAAAGCTTCTAGGGAAAAAAGATAAATGAAAACTTATATTGACTCTCAGAAGGTTAAAAAAAATTATCATCTGGATATTTGCTCAGAACTGAATTCCAAACTTAAGTAATTAAAAAATTTAAAAAGATAGTTTACAGTAGTTGGGGTCCCAATGCAGTAAACAGGACTGATTGCTATTTCCTATCAGYGTCTTTTTGCAATAACAGGGTAACAGAGGCACCCTTGTATTTTCATGATACTGCCTTCCGGTTACTGACTGGCAGCTCTATACCTATGCTCAGATGGTGTTCAAAACTGTTTTTTTAAAAAAGAAATTCCTCCTTCCCATGGTTATTTTATTTTACTTTTTTTARAGCCAAAGAATTGTTCCAGTATGTTTAGACTCTAAGCCATGTAACTGAATAATAACAATTATAATCAACAGCTAGTACTTACACATTCTTTTTTTTTTTATTCAAAAAAATCACACTTCCAGCAAATTAGACTGGTCTTTGAAACTTGTCAAAATATATATTACAATGCTGAAATATATATTATATATATATATGAAAATATATATATGAAAAAATATATATTACAATGCTGACAGCTATTAAAAATAGCTTCTGAAAGCTATTAAAAATAACACCTATATAAAAAAACGCCTAAACTTTTATTTAGAGAAAGATTTTAGAAAAGCTTCTTGCATCTTTTCAATGATTCTCCCTTCCACRGAACATGAGTGAAGCCCTGACCAAGGTGTAGTCTTTGAGGGTTTTGCTGAAGTTCCTGACAGAGTCAGGTTTTACTTATTACATGAATAAATTTCATACTCTTTGTACAAGTGTACATTCTAYATGAAAAAGAAATATTGCTTGTTTTACTGGCAAAGCCAAACTTGTGTTAGGTAAGCACTGAAGAGCAGGTGTAATATAACTGAAGAACAAGCTTCTACCAGGCTTTACATTTCTTCAGCACAATACTGCTTGCTCTTGAAATCTGCCTACAAAATCATTACTGCTGACAGGATGTCATTTAGACTGACATTTTTTTGAGCTTGTGGTTTCMGAAAGTGTTTGATAAGGTGCGTTGGGAGAATATTTGAGTGGATTTGTAACCAAAAAGAATTTGTAAATGGGATTATGGGTGTTTTAGGAGTTTAGACAATGGTGAGAAGAGGATTCTGTAATGGTCACTGTAATAATCCTCGTCATGCTTTGAGCTCACAGCTCTTGGTTTATAGATGCTTCCCTGAAGTGAACAGGCATGTGTGTATGCTCTTTTAACATGTTTTTGCAGCAAATTTTTAAAGGATGATTTCTTAGAAATGTTTGGTCATTTTGGTTRTCTTGACTTCTCTTTTCCTGGTTTCAGGATCTAAACTTCCTGTGTCTGTAGGTGCCTCTAGCTGGGTGTGGGAGTGCTCAGCCGTAGTCCTTGAAGGCAGTTATCCCTAATTGTGACCACTCGCTGTTATTAGGTACTTCCACAGTTTCAGCCTTACCCTGTCTGTCCTTGCATTCTCTATCTCTTCACTATGAATTACAGTAATTTGTAACTCACGTGTTACATATGTCTATATGCTTAATTTCTTAATGTTTCCTACCTCTCTGTGCCTGGGCAGAAGCTTGGGCAGAAATTGGGTGCTCTGTCAAGGTGTAGGCTTTCTTTGAGGTAGAAAGCAGTAGTTGCTTTTACTGCAGTTAGCCCTGTGAAGGATAATGCACGACCCCAGGGATGTCATACAAAGGTACACGTGTGGCCACACAGCTTTCCTCATCTGAAATCACGGAGATGATTTAAATCACTCAATTATTCATAGTTGCCCAGTACATGATAGCTAGGTCTGATACAACACCCCAAGAGGGAGGTGTATGTAAGTATGAAGAGTTCTGTGTCATCCCTTTTAGCACGATTTGTTGTGGTTCTTTTCTAATCACTATAAATTTTATTTTCAAGGAATACAGTAGATTTAAGAATCCTGGAAATACCAAACAGAGTTAAAAAGTTCCAGGTTCCTTTGAAAATCCTAATCTGTTCTCATAATACTTAAAGCTTGATTTTTAAATACGGGTACTGTTTGGCATCTGGACACCTAAGTAATGTTAGCTAATCATATCTTAAGTCTGGGATGTGGTGCTTCAAAATATGAGCATCCCTAGTTCTCAATCAAAACTCCTCTGCACATGCCATATTCAAGAGGTGCATTAATACTTAGGGTTGTAAAATAGTCTTTGAAAAACATGTACTCTGCATGAAAAACCTAAGATGGCATAATGTAGTTTGCAGAAGCAGTTGCTGAAAAGATGAATAGAAAGCATAATGCAGGACAAATATAATACACAAARTGAACTACAATGCCAATGTGATGTACTGTTTCTTTTTTGTTTTTCTATTGAAAAAAAGAATTATCTTGCCTAAATTTTATTTTTTTTTTGTAGTTTCTATTGAGTTGGACTGCAACTTTAAATCTATATAAAACAGAAATTGTTCTAATATCCAGTATTCATATCTCACCTTTAGTGATGCCATTAACTGAGATTTGCTCTTCAAACTTTTGCCAATTACCTCTGGATGGCAGTAGATGTAGTTACAAGATAATTCAACCAATTCTTAAGCCTGCTGCGAGGATCATTATGAAGAATACATCTCATCAGGAAAACCCAAAGTGCTGGTAATCTTGGAAAACAGTAGAAAGTGCGCTTAAAATACCCAGACTCTCTCAAAATCATTCTTTTCCACTGATTTTGTTCAGAGTATTTTGAAGTAAAATCTCCACTGTAGGGTTTGCTCTTGTAAAGGAGGATTTGTTTGTTCACTGAAGCTAAATAAAGTAAAATTAAAATCTACAKCTTGTGGACCAAATTTTGCTCTCAATGTACATTTTTATCCCACTATGTTACAATACACATCGGTTTTGTGGCCATATAGGTGCTTTTTGCAGTCCAGAAAGCAAAACTCGGTAGTGAAAATAATTCGGTTAATGAAAAGTACTTTCCTACTCATTATTGCATGTAATATGAACAAAATCACTGTAAGGAATGAACAAAAAGTGTTTGTACCACAGTTTTTTGTTGRCTACTAGGAATAACCTCAGCAGTGYACCAAATGTATACCTGGTGGTTATGCCTTTTCCTATTTAAGAAAAAATTGTAGCTGCAGGTATTATATACCACAGGTAATCTCTTCTCATTGTTTCACTGAAGCAAGGTCGTAACCTAGAAATGCATTAAAGGACATGYTTATTTTTAAGCATGTGGATTTTCCCTAGAGATTAATGAGGTTACCTCTGCTCACATTCTTAAAAATGTTCCTGGCTGCATTGTAGATGAGCAGGATTAGACAAGATTTGTTTTAGTACTAGCAGAATGCTGTATTTGTGAAAAACAAAAATAAAAGATGAAACTCAGGGGCAGTTGCTGTAGTTATCATCCCAAGACCTAGACCCGGGTAACTGGGAATGAAGTTGCAAGCGGATACCAAGCAGGATCAGGTTGCTGGTTGGGAAGCCAGGGCACAGGTAGCTGTTGAGGCAGTGTGCAGATGTGGATGGCTGCAGACCCTATGGAAAGCGATGCGTAGACCACAATTTGTTTTGATCCCTTGACTAGCTGTGACTGTGTGGTTTCCTTGTACTCATTTTGGGCAAACAGAACATAAGYGAAGCTGACCTGAGGCCTTCCCTAGTACATGATGCCTGTTAGGGAATTGGGCTGAAAACAGGTGACAGGTTTTGCTTTTTTTGCGAGCTTTATGATGACCTGATTTTTTTTTTTCTTTCTGAAAACACCAGCATTTGTGTCGCTTAGTTTTGTTATCAGTCTGTTTAGGAGAATGCAAAGAATGGAGTGAGACCTGTATCAGACAGTGATGGAAAGAATTTCCATCCAATGTAATAAGAAACTTTTTTTCTAAGGTCAGTGCTTCCTGTCAGCTTCTTAGCKTAAACTTACGCCTTGCCGTGAAATTACGTGTACAATTTTTATGAAAAGACATTGATCATAGGTCTTTCTTGCACAAAGAAATCTGTCATGCAGAGATTTGCCCTGG